TGCATGATGAACGCGTATTTCACTAGCTCAATAAGAGGGATGTGCTAATTCAATTATGCTTGAACTATGGAAAAATTGGTGACAATTTCAATTTATTGTAATATTTTTTAAATTCTTGTGATAAAAGCTGAATTTTCAGCATCATTACGCCAGTCTTCAGTGTCACATGATCTTTCAGAAATCTCATCATTTCAGTGGATGTACATAAATATATTTCCCAGTATTAAATTCTGCTTTACATACAGTTAAAGTACAATGATCTGCAATGTTTGACTTGGTGATGATTGTGGTTTTGTCGTGAATCTCAGATGAGTGACATGGGTTGGGGTGCAGTCATTGAACACACGCTGGCAGACATGCTGTACCACGTGGAGACAGACGTAGACGGCCGGCGGAGCCCACCGTGGGAAGGTTGAAGACTGACACTGTCTGAGAGCACAGACTGACATATTCATAGCCCATGTGTCTGAAAACTATTCCCTCGTGCTTTTCATGTACCGTTCTCTATGACCAAGCAATGTTGAATATATTTGATTAAACCATCTGTTTTGTATCGGTTATAGTTGTACCCGTCCCTTGTTTTTCATGCAGGATTGAGAAGGTTTTTCTCATAGAAATCAATGTCTCATTCTTCAGTTTTCTCATTATGAAATATCATAGTGCACCAGAGCATGATGTTGATAGATGGATCCAGTTTGATTAGGATGTATTTTGGGGTGGTGTGCCTTATGCAAGTTAAAGTTTCGTTACATTTCCTCATACCGCAGATTTATCTTGGTGTCAGTCATCCGATTTAATTTCCTTTTACAGTATCCTTATTAGTGAACGGCATCAGTGTTGTTTATACCCTTAAAGCACATTAACCTGTTAAAAGCAGACACGTTCAGTTGTGTGTGTGTGTCTGACCTGAGTTTTTTCAGAGGTCATGGGTTTCCATTCATGGTTTTTTATCTGTTGTTTATTTGTTAATTGATTTGTAGTCATTCGGATAGGTGTAAAATATCTTTTTTTTTGTAAACCATGTTTTATACACAAACTTGTTTTAATAAAGTTATTCTAAAGACCATGTTTTCATACATGTATGTTTTGTGATATTTCTACATTACTGTTAAAATTGAATATTTATTTATGCAACAACCAAACACAATTTTCACAATGACTTTCTCTTTTATTTACAAACTGAGCATACAAAGAATCTGTAATGTGAAAATATGAAAATTATTCCCAAACCCTGCAGATGGTAGGATTTGTGACAGTAAATTTACACAATATCTTTTCAGTATTTAATGACCCTTTGAATAACATCTCCAGTTATGAAGACATCGTTTCTTTAAAAAAAAAAAAAAAAAAAAAAGGGAAAAAAGTACTTCGTTTCTTAAAAAAAAAAAAAAAAAAAAATGGTAAAAAGTACTTTTTCAGTCCTTACAGCTCTTCTGCAGATGAGGAGCGATATATTGGTTCAGCCTCCGGACCCTTGTTCTAAAACAGAGATAAAAAGTAAAAGGTGTTTTTATTGTCATTCGCATATTACATTTTATATGTAAATTACATTAATATTCCAGGTTATTGAATTCTCTGGCTCGTTCGAGAGGGAAGTAGATGTTGTATTTGATAATTTAACCGTTGCTTTTGAATTGGATCTTTTTGATGAATCGGTTGATCTGATTCACAAGATTTATTCATGGATCAGGTCAGACTAGAGTGATTTAAAATACAACTCACGGTGAAATCGATTGATTATCAGGGTAAAATGTGCGGTCACATTTACCGTTGTTTGGGGAGTTCAACAGGAATCCACGCTTGTGGGCAAAATATTTTACAACGCAAATTCGCAAAACTTTTGACGGATTCGACGCGTTTACCACCGGAAATCTGCGTGGTTGGAAACGGTTAAAATATTATTCGGAGAAATGTTATATTTTAATTTGTATGTATAATTGTGCGAATCCTTTGTAAGTACTTTAAGTAATAATTTTACTGAAAGTCGTGATAAACACAAGAAAAATAATTTTGCGGTTGTTAGCACTAGCAGGGTAACGTTAACTTTATATACGTAAGTTAAAGACCATTGTCAACATGGTGAATGTAGGATATCTAGGAATGTATTTTTAGCACACTACAAACACATCAGTTCACTAATTAAGTTCTTCATTCAATGTGGTAAAGCTGGAATGCATATCGCCTTAGGGCGGCCAGAGGCTGGTCTGTTCAAGTGAACGTGAGATTTTTCAGTACGATAAATAACCTTCTTTCATGTGGGAAATGCTTGTAAAACAATTGACAGCCTATCTGTAAATCTTCAACAGATGCTTCAAATTTGTCATGTCATTTACAAATGGAGCTATTTTTGGAGCCTCACAATCAAAATAACTTCTCCCTCCCTCTTGCAGCAACATCTTTACTTTGCTCTGATGACGTGTTTACTGGCGTGAGGGCGGGACAAGCTGTCACTCATATGATATCCACCAATAGCAAACCACCCAGTGAACTCCAGATGGATAAAATCAAGTCTGGGCCTAAAAAAATTACTTGTAAGAGAAGCCGGAAGCTTGTTTCATCCACAGAATAAAACACAATTCAAAATACATTTGCGACTTTTAATCTCACAATTGCGAGATGTAAACTCTCACAATTGGCTTTATGCACAGCTGCACTACTTCCTGAACTTCAGCCAGCTCCTTGTTTCCTGTCTGCAATTATTGGCCGAACTTGATTAATTCAGGTGTGTCTGATTATTGTTGCCGTGACTACTGAGGTCAGGCACACCTGGATTAATCAGTTTGTCCAATAATGGCAGACAGGAAACAAGGAGCTGGCTTAAGTTCAGGAAGTAGTGCAGCTGTGCATAAAGCCAATTGTGACTCTAAACTCTGACTTTTTCTCTCAATAAACTTGCAATTGTGAGATGTAAAGTTAGAATTGCGAGATACAAATTCGCAATTCCGTGATATAAACTCGCAATTGCGAGATATAAAGTAAGAATTGTGAGATTTAAAGTTATAATTATGTGTTATAATGTCAGAATTGCATGATATAAAGTTGCAACTGCGTGTTATAAAGTCAGAACTCAAGTACAACTCGCAATTCTGACTTCTTTTCGTAGAATTGTGAGATATAAACTCGCAATTGCGAGTTATAAAGTCCAATCCTGAGGGAAAAAAATTGCAATTTTATATCTTGCAAATCTCACTTAATAACGTGCAATTGTATATATAAATATCATGTAATTCTGACTTTTTTTCTTGCAATTATGAGTTTGTACCATGCAGTTCTGAGAAAAAAGTCAGAATTGCAAGAAAAAAAGTAAAACCTCACAATTGCCTTTTTTATTTTTTACTCTGTGGCATAAACAAGCTTCTATACGTTTCAGTTGCATATCACAGATAGCCTGGGAGCTAGCCAAATGTAGATTTGCTCTGAAAGTTAGTCTGGCAAAGAGCTCATTCAAGCCCATTCCTAATCCGTCGAAATCACGACACAAATCAGAAACGTTAGGGCAAGTTGAACACCGTCATTAGAACTCTATAACCGCCAAAACCATGTTATTAAAATATTTTTTTCACAGACATTTTTTTATCATAGAGAATGTTTAAGTACTAATATCAGCTTACGAGGGAAACAAAGGCGAAGTTAGTGGTGCTTCGGAGGCTGCTGGAGATGATTTGGGAGAGGTTTTGTTTACTGTGTGAATTATTTAATGGAAAGCCCATTCACTCCTTGTTGTCTTGGTGTTAATTTTAAATAAACGTAGAGCAAGTAGCTCGGGTGAACCCAGGACTTAAATGAGAGGGCGAATCGGCGAAATGTAAGTTTATTTAATAACAAATAAAATGATGAAGACCATTTATGCATTTTATATAAAACATGTAAAACATCCGCGTTAGCACATCGCCCAGGCTGCAGCAGGGTTCGTTAATGATTATGACGATGTGTACTATTATTTAACTGAAGTTATGATTACAAATGCCTTTAATTTGAAGTATTTTTATCCGCCGGGATGATAGAATTGACGTCATTACGTGATGACGTAAAAGAACTGGTGAACCGGTTTTTTGAACCGGTTCATTAAAACGAACTGTCCGAAAGAACCGGTTCGCGGAAAAGAACCGGACTTCCCATCACTAAGTAGCTGATCAGTGTCTGCTCGTTTATTGAAACTAAGTTGTTCTATAGACCATTTCACAAGATGTAAACAACACTGGTCCAGAAGCACTTTCTGTTTCAGTTTGTAACTGTTTTCTTTATTTCACATGTAAAGAAAACATCTTAAAGATGTTTGTTTAACTTTTTGATTCAGTTTTAAATGTTCTGTTGGTTGTATTTTATCCAAGCTTTTATGTAGTGTTAAAAAACTGAAACAGGAAGTGCTTCTGGACCAGTGTTGTTTACATCTTGTGAAATGGTCTACAACAGACGAACGTCGCTGTGCATACGTCATCTCCTTCATCGCTCTGATTGGTTTTAGGTCTATCCAATTGCGCCCAAATACGTGTCTGTTGGTGACGCCCCTTTGGAAATGATGTGTCGATGAAGCTTTGCCAGACCATAACTGAGTTACAACTGAGAATGGTCTGGTTTTAACCAGGCTACATCACAACAGGGAAGAAAAGACTATTGCAACTTCCCGTTTCATGATGTCTTAAAATTTTCAATGACCTGGAAAATTCTGTTAATCAAAGCACTGTCATCATAGTTAGTCATAGAGTAGTCACTGTCACAGGCTAATGAAGTGGGACTGTGTCATTTAAGGGCTCCTTACTCGTCTCTTGAAGATTCTGTCCAGCAGCCGGGGTCGAGTGTATTCTGTAGGACTGTGATTGGAGAACTGAGTCTCCAAGCCATTCTGCAGGATCACCGCGTTGCGGTCAAGATCGGGTGTTCTTGTTCCTCGTGGCCCAAAAACATTCAGGTCCTTGAAACACTCTGTCTCAATCATCTAGATCAATTTTAAAAATGCATATATGAACTGTGGACCATAAATATACATTGCTTTTCTTTAGGTTTCTTCCCTACCTCGTTCTGCCAGGGCACAGGCACGCTACCTGTATTAAACTTGCTGTAGAAATTATCATCGACCTGATCAAGGACCACTCCTTTAACCGTAGAGAACTGATCGATGTCCAGGATGTCCGCGCAGTAAACGGCTCTCGGCTGGTGGAGAGAAGACAATCTGATGACAAAATGAACATCACAGGATTGATTTCAGGTGAGAAACAGACACTCACGTCAGGGACAAAAGATGGCGGCATCCTTCCAGCCTCAAGTCTCGTAAAGTTGATGTTCGTAAAGAACGAGTGACCTTTGATGACCTCTGCTCCTTGCCTGAACTTGCAGCCCAGTCGCTCCTTTGGGTTTTTAGCCAGGAGCTAAATTGAAAAGCAATTCGAAAAATGTATAGTATTCCCTTTGAATGGACAATGAGACCTAGATTAGATCAGATCAAATCAGTGAACTCAGAGCACTGTGAAACGTGTCCTCACACTTTTGCAGATGGATGAGGTGTCCTCATCGAACTTATTCCCGTAATGCTCGATCGTCTCCACAACTCTTCTTTCGACCTCTTGTCTCGGCAGCCGTTCCTTGTGGTTGCGGAACGGAGGTTTTCCGGCCGTCATCTCGTAGATTAGACACCCGAGTCCCCACCAGTCCGGACTAAAACTATAGTATGTGTTTGAGATGACTTCTGGTGCTGGCGATGTGAAAAAAACAAATTTACAACTGTAAAGCTGTATACACTCGGATTTATGATATATAACAATCTAAAAAGTGAAACACTTGGGCATATTCATATTACATTTGGAAATGAAGTCAGAATTAAAATCGTAATAATTCTAAAAAAAAAAGGCCTTGTTTTCTATAATCAATATATATATATACTACTGTTTTGTAAGATTTTTTTTATTTATTCAGCAAGGATACATTAAATTGATCAAAAGTGACAGTAAAGCATTTATAATGTTACAAAACTAGTAAATGCTGCTCTTTTAAACTTTCTACTCATCAAAGAATCCAGATTTTTTTTAATCAATTTTTAAATATGAAGCAACAGAACTGTCTTCAGCGTTGATGATAATAAGAAATGTTTCTTGAGCAGCAAATCATCATATTAGAGTGATTTCTGTAGGATCATGTGACACTGAAGACTGGAGTAATGATGCTAAAAATACAGCTTTGAACACAGGAATAAATGGCATTTTACAATATATTCAAATAGAAAACATTTATTTTAAATGTTAATATTATTTCACAATATTACTGTGTTCAAATAAATGAGCGTGTTAAAAAACTTTTAAAAAATCTTACTGACCACAAAATTTTGATTGGTGTAGTGTATATAATATTTTTAAATGTCTGATACGATTCACTAAAACTGCTGTTATGTTGAATATCTATGAAGATGATTTTCATACCCATGTAACCCACGGTTCCCACTCTTCCCTTCACGAGTTTTTCTTCTGGCAAGGTTACGGCGAGTCCCAAATCAGAGATCCGAATGTGACCTGTCAGATACAGGGACGTTATTTAACAGGAAAAGGAACATTTCACAGTTTTTAAACCACTCTAGACTGAGAACTGTTTTCCTGAATACCTGGGAGGAAAAAAATCCTGAAAAGACTAAAATGAAAAGTAAGAAACTGTGTTTGACCCCCTTTCGCCTTCAGAACTGCCTTAATTCTACGTGGCATTGATTCAACAAGGTGCTGAAAGCATTCTTTAGAAATGTTGGCCCATATTGATAGGATAGCATCTTGCAGTTGATGGAGATTTGTGGGATGCACATCCAGGGCACGAAGCTCCCGTTCCACCACATCCCAAAGATGCTCTATTGGGTTGAGATCTGGTGACTGTGGCGGCCATCTTACTACAGTCAACTCATTGACATGTTCAAGAAACCAATTTGAAATGATTGGAGCTTTGTGACATGGTGCATTATCCTGCTGGAAGTAGCCATCAGAGGATGGGGACATGGTGGCCATAAAGGGATGGACATGGTCAGAAACAAAGCTCAGGTAGGCTGTGGCATTTAAACGATGCCCAATTGGCACTAAGCGGCCTAAAGTGTGCCAAGAAAACATCCCCCACACCATTACACCACCACCACCAGCCTGCACAGTGGGAACAAGGCATGATGGATCCATGTTCTAATTCTGTTTACGCCAAATTCTGACTCTACCATCTGAATGTCTCAACAGAAATCGAGACTCATCAGACCAGGCAACATTTTTCCAGTCTTTTCCAGAGCTCTTGCAAATTGTGGCCTCTTTTTCCTATTTGTAGTGGAGATGAGTGGTACCCGGTGGGGTCTTCTGCTGTTGTAGCCCATCCGCCTCAAGGTTGTGTGTGTTGTGTCTTCTTCACAAATGCTTTGCTGCATACCTCGATTGTAACGAGTGGTTATTTCAGTCAAAGTTGCTCTTCTATCCGCTTGAATCAGTCGGCCCATTCTCCTCTGACCTCTCGCATCAACAAGGCATTTTGGCCCACAGGACTGCCCCATACTGGATGTTTTTCCCTTTTCACACCATTCTTTGTAAACCCTAGAAATGGTTGTGTGTGAAAATCCCAGTAACTGAGCAGATTGTGAAATACTCAGACACCAACAACCATGCCACGCTCAAAATTGCTTAAATCTTCTTTCTTTCCCATTCTGACATTCAGTTTGGAGTTCAGGAGATTGTCTTGACCAGGACCACACCCCTAAATGCATTGAAGCAACTGCCATGTGATTGGTTGATTAGAGAATTGCATTAATGAAAAATTGAACAGGTGTTCCTAATAATCCTTTAGGTGAGTGTATAGTGGTCCCAAAATGTATTTGTATATACACTTTTACCAAAACATTTGACAAAGATCCTTCATAATTTAAGCGCAGATAAACACATTTTTATCTTATGTAACAGCATTCTCACTTTTGTAACCATGATGCAAGAGTCCAAAAACTTTTTGAGGTCACTATTTTTAAAAGTAGGATAGTTAATGATGTCAAACGCAACAAAAGTAAAAGTTTTCTTGCAACCGACTTGCTTTCATGCTTTAATTTCCTTGTTTATGATAACAAAAGCAATTTTGGAGAAATGTTTCCTGGTGACGATTATGAGAGTTGATTATGCTAAAAATAGAAAGTAAGGGAAATTTGAGATCCTGAAGAGAATGCTACAAATCTTGTACAGGCGGTTATTATAACGTCTTTTTTTTCACATAGGGAAGTGCACATACCATTATCATCCAGAAGAATGTTTTCTGGCTTTAAATCCCTGATAGAAATAAAACAAAACACATGTAGTTATTAACAAAGCTAGATCTGTTTAATTCGATTTCTGGTATGTCAGGTGACATTTTATAATTTGTAACTACATTCAGCACATTAAAAGTCAAACAATGGCTCTCAGTTTTGAGGCCTACCTATAAACAATGGATTCTTTATGAAGATGGTCCAGGCCGCAGAGGATCTCCGCTGCATAAAACTGGACTCTTTCTTTGTCGAGCCCCTCTGTGCCCATGTTATAGATGTGAAACCTCAGGTCTCCTCCGTTCAACAGCGTCAGCACCAGGCAAAGAGCCTCTTTTGTCTCGTAAGCATATGCTAAACTCACCTGACATATTCAAATAAACACACAGACAGACAATTTACACAAAACCGGTCACATATACAGTGCAATAAATATAAATATGATGTAAACATATACAGTACTGTGCAAAAGTCTTACACCAGTTATTTATATCTTTTGCTGTAGTGTTTCAGTTGGAAATATCAGATTACATCTGATTTCACTATCATCAAGTCTATCTGTGATTTCATGAAAAAACTGAGACAGTCTAAATCCAGAAGAACTGCAGCAACGTCTCCAAGACGCTCGACGAAACTGACCTGCAGTGTAAATTTAAGGCACTTAATGTGTTAATGCTGTGGAGGATGCTTTCAAAAATAATGTTGTAAATATAATTTATTTATCAATGAACTTCTATTAAACTTTAAAAAAAAAACTTTTGCTGATAATTTACTCACCCCCATGTCATTCAAGACGTCCATGTCTTTCTTTCTTCAGTTGAAAAGAAATTAAGGTTTTTGATGAAAACATTCCAGGATTTTCTCCATATAATGGACTTCAATGGGTCCAAAAGACCGTTTCAGTACAAACTGTTCAAAGGGCTTCAAACGATTCCAGACGATGAATAAGGGTCTTATCAAGCGAATCGATCACTCATTAACAAAAAAAAAAAGTTTAAGTTTTATAAGCTCAAATGCTCGCCTTGCTCTGTTCTGTGACGCACGTTCGTGACTCTCCTGTTCAAACTCGTTCATCAAAATGAACGAATCTTTTCCCGAGTCAACTCGTTCATTTCGTCCGTTGAATGAACCAAATGACTTGCAAAAAGATTCGTTCATTTTTATGAACGAGTTCGAACAGGAGAGTCACAGAACAGAGCAAGGCGAGCATTTGAGCTTATGAAACTTAAACTTTGTTATTTATTTATTAAATGAGCGATCGTTTCGCTCGATAAGACCCTTATTCATCGTCTGGAATCGTTTAAAGCCCTTTGAACAGTTTGCAGTTTGCACTGAAACTGTCTTTTGGACCTTGAACCGTTTGGTTCCCATTGAAGTCCATTATATGGAGAAAAATCCAGGAATGTTTTCATCAAAAACCTTAATTTCTTTTCAACTGAAGAAAGAAAGACATGGACGTGGGTGAGTAAAATATCAGCAAAAGTTTTTTTAAAAGTGAACTACTCCTTTAACTATATCAGATTAATATTTGGTGTGACCACCCTTTGCGTGTTAAACAGCTTTTGTCCAGGTACACTTGCACTCAGGTTTTCAGGTAGCTTTGCAGGTCCGTTTCTTCAAACGTTGCTGCAGTTCTTCTAGATTTCCTCTGTCTCGTTTTTTTCTGTTTTTTCATGTAATCACAGACGATGATGATGGTGAGATCAGATCACACCGGCTGTTGTCAGATTCACTGGATTATTAGCGTTATGGCAAAAGGATTGTTTGGAAATGTAATCTGATATTTCCTTCTGAAACACTACAGCAAAAGATATAAATAACTGGCTTAAAATATTTGTACATTTTCGGTGGAAATACTACCGTGCCTCTGTATATAAGAGAAAAAGAAAGCTTAAAGAAATAGATTTTTACTACCTCAAAAATATTAATAATTCTTGCATTATACTGTAGAATAAATACCATGATATATATATATA